TGCCTGTTACATACATTTCAACAAAACCATTATACCCTGATTTCCCATTTTCAATGGGTTCAGAGTATAATGAGAAAAATTTCAGTCGACATTGAAAATAGTAGTGTATGCCTGAACGAGAAGGGCTTTCCTTCAAGTACTATTGCCGAAAATCCTGGTATCAGCCAATCGCTGCTCTAGGAGACCAAATGTGACTCCGAAAACTCGAGTCAAAGGTTGCAAAAAACTTTTGTCGGACCCTGATGACCGGAAATGAAGAAAAACAAGCTGTTAGCACAAAAAAAAAAAAAAAAAAAAAAAAAAAAAAAACGAATCTGCATTGTTCGAAAAGAGTGTGAATGCGCGTTTGAAATTTGCAAGGGATTGATTAATATATGTGCGTGTCCCGAAAAAAAAAATGGGTTTTCAACAAAATCAATGCAAAATCTTCTGCAAAAATTGTTAAGAAATGGATTGGAAAGCAAAATATTAAGCTAATGGATTGGCCAGCACAGAGTCCCGACCTCAATGCTGTTGAAAATCTGTGGTCAATAGTGAAAAGACGGCTAGGAAAGTATGCTGTAGAAAGATATTGTTCAAAGTTGGATTCAGAGCATGTCAAAAAGAGTCAGTAAAGCTATTGCCAATAAGGGTTTTTTCATTAATTTATTTAATTCACTTCGTGAATGAGTATAAAAAAAGGTTTGACTTGCTTGTATAGCTTACTTTTTTTTTCAAAGTTGTGAAACATTCACTCATTTTTGCTCAATACTGTATGATAGGATATTTATTAACTATGTAAGGTATGCTAAGTACTAACATATTCTTCCTACTCATAAAGCTAAGCTAAAGCCATCGAATCAAGTGAATACACCTGCTAATTCAACATTGGATAAATCAAATCAAAATAGTCAAAGCAACTCAACAGTTACCAACAGTAGCAATACAAAAGCAGCAACAACAATAGTAACAGCTGTTGCTTCTGCTGCAAGTTCAACGACAACTGTTAAGGAGGAGCCGACAGATCTCTTGCTGAGCAATTGCTTGGTGAATATGAAGAAGGAAGATCATTTCTCGCCAAGCATGTCGCCAGTGGGATTTGGATCGATTGGTGCAACAGATCGATCTGTTACTCCTGGTGAGTTCACAAAAATAACCTAAAAGCCTGAATTAAACTGTATCAATACTCTAGTTAAAATAGAGCTAAGTGAGAAGCCGCCATCTGTAATGGGGCTAAGCACTGACAATGATCTTGTCAACTGTAATACGTTGGATGCTGATCGTATGGGTGATATAAATTCCACGAGCTCTAATCTAAATGCTAATCCAACTGCAACTGGACCTGGACTTGGCGAATCTCTTGGCCTTGGCACCAACGTTTCGCCGATTGCTGGAGGAGCTGGTACAGGAGTCGCCGGTAGCGGTGGTAGTTGTGGTGGTGGTGCATCATCCAATTTTATGAGCAATAACAATAGCGTCGGCAACTGCTTAGAATATATGCAACAGCAGAATCATATATTTGTCTTCTCGACTCAACTAGCTAATAATGGGGCAGAATCTGTGTTGAGCGGGCAATTTCAAACGATCATCGCCTACCATTGCACACAGCCGGCGACAAAGAGTTTTCTTGAAGACTTTTTTATGAAGAATCCAATGAAAATGAACAAGCTGCAACGACAGAACTCGTTAGGCCTCAACATTGGCAACATGTCCGGAACAGGTGGACCAAATTGGCTCAATTCAAATACAAATTCCAACAATCCAAGTTCGAATCCAAATTTAACCAAAATGCTGCAGCCGCAGCAGCAGAAATCGAAGATTCATTTTAATAGCCAAGCCGATAAGCGAAACAACTTTGGTGATTCAACAGGAACAGCCGAATCACTTGTCAACGAAAGCGAATTGATGTGCTGGGAGGCAGGAAATGGAAATCGCGGCACACTAGACCCAGATTCGCAAGCTCTGAAACTATTGGAAGGTGTCGACAGTGTTCTGGGCAAATGCAGCAGCACAGACCTAAGCACGGATAGCAATATAATTTCATTGCAGGGTGTTAAAGTGCCAGACGAAAACTTGACACCGCAGCAGCGACAGCATCGAGAGGAGCAATTGGCTAAATTGAAAAAAATGAATCAATTCCTGTTCCCAGAGAATGAGAGCGGACCTACAAGCAGCCATTTGAACAAGCTGCCAAATGAGGCGGCAATAGGAAATTTAATGATGAACATTGCACCGACAGGCGCTGCATCGAATGCACAAATGCGACAAATGCAATTGCAAATGCAAGCGGCTACAGCGGCTACACAGCAGCAACAAAAATCGGAGCACATGTCACAGCTGGGCGAGGATGTGCTGATGCCATTGCCATCTGATGTTATTGGAGATATTGGAGCTGTTATAACTTGCAATAGTGGGCAGAAGAACAACTTGCCGGTAGCAAATGCAGCAGCTGCGGCGACAGCAGCGTCAGGCGTCGGAGGTGGAGCAGGAGCGGGCCCTGCCACAGCTGTTGGTATGAATGTTAACATGAATGTTAACATGCAATGTTCAAATAATCCTAACTTATTGGCAAATTCACCAGAACTGATAAGTGGATTTGGTAATACAAATTGCGTTATGGGCATGGGAGTTGGCGACAAAGTAGAAGGCGGTTTGTCTCCCATGGAGTGGAACAAATTACAACAGCAGTTTTTCGAAGAACGCTTGAAAGTGGGCAAAGCAGCCTGTCGGCCGACGGGCATGTCTGGACCTGGCTCCGGTCCTACTCCCCAGTCAACGATTACGGCATCGAGTACTAGTAGTACACCAAATGCTGTCATTCGAAATAATGTACAAGGACCACCACCGCCATATCATCCCACACAACGTTCGGCATCAGTGCCTATTGCCACGCAATCTCCAAATCCATCCAGTCCCAATAATCTCTCCCTGCCATCGCCACGCACAGTAGGTGCCCTTGGATTACCATCGAATTCACCTAGCATGGAACTAAACAGCACAACCAATTCATCAACAAGTGGCCCTGTTGGGGGTACAGCAAATATAGGTCCCATAGCACCATCGAAGAACTGTTTTCCGACTGACTCCGGTTCGCCTCCAAGTCGACATCGAAATGCTGGCAACAATTCATCAAGCGTCAATGCTTGTGTGAATGTGATGAATCACCATCTAAATAGTAATCCCGGTACGCCTCTTTCCCACCTTTCGCCCAAGGATCTAGAATCGTTCAACACAACTGGTAATTGAATTTTAAAAGGTGTTAGGTAGCTTAGGCGATTACGTGTAATTCAAGAGTTCCACAAGATTCGGCAAAAAAAAAAAAAAAAAAAGATTGATTAAAACTATAGAAATTTTATTTGGATGAAATATGAAAATTGCTCTAAAAAAGTATTGTTTAATTTAACAAATTTAGACAATCTCTCAACACATTAGGCTTACAGAGTTTATTTTTATTGCATTCGAAGAAATATAAGGATTCCAACTTGTAAACAAGTAAGAAGGCTCTAGTCGAGACAGCTCAACTAGGAGATACCCTGAACCCTCCAAGCTGATATTTTAATCATTCTATACTTAAT